TGTGTGAATGATCCGTAAAAGATTTCAATATGATCCATATTTTCAGTAAAATTTAGCAACACAATTGTAAAAATGTACCGCTAAATATCTAATGAATGAGCATTGAAATTGTAAGAATTACCCATACACATATTGCAAATGATCCATAAAACATTCAGCAATGAACCTTAAACTAATGAAAGTGATCCCCAGAAAATCAAGTTTGCGCTCTTAAAAATATAGGCATGATCCATAAATTAGACATATACTGTTCATGTTGTGGACACTAACTTTTGATTTTGTTCCATAGACTTTGAAATGATGTTCCATTGTTTTTTTGAGTTAGAAGTGCGAAGCGACGGGTAAACGTCTAGAATTAGCTTCCATAAATCAGCTTCTATAATAATTTTCTTAACACTCTGAACACGATGCCTCTGGTCAAATGTGTAACAGCCAAGAGGTAAGTCACTCAGCACATTGTGCCGGAATTATATTCTACACAGCTTGAGCACATCCATCGGCACATTTTCGGTATACCTTCGGCACAATCTCGTAGGCATTAAATTGTTGCAAATAAAATGGGAGCACTGCTGGACAACTGTCATTGAAGTTGTTCAGAACATTACGTGCTGTTTGACTGTATGTTCAGGAACATCTTCTAATTGAATATACCAGAGGAACTCAGACCAGCAGTTCACTTATAGATCTAAATACGAAATGTAGGTTCTAGAGTGGACTGAAAAGGAAGAGACAGTTAATCAGACCTCATTAATACCCTTAATTCAAATAATGCTGCAACTCACACAAAACAAACTAAAGAAGTCTATTCATTACCCTCTATAGTCGGTATCCAACAATACTCCCCACCGGTTCCAACTCTTTCCAGCCGAAAGGCTAGGTTTCTGGTCTGCCTTTGAGGGCATTATAAAACACTAAAACACAGGACTTTTATTACCCTATGGATCACAAAACACCGAAATTTCGCACATTCGCCACTTCCCGCGTCATCCTCAATCCGATTTATCCTTGCGATTTCAAACCAAAACATTCAAGGTGTCAGAAATACCGGATTCCTGGGATGGATATTTTACAAACAATCGCAGCTTGCTCTATGACCGACACAATCAGCATACTTGCGGCACACTGACAAAAAAGATGACCCAAAATTGGTGTGCGGAGTGACCTACCCCTTGGTAACAGCAAACTTTTTTTTTTTTTTTTATTATTATTATAGTCACTTTAACACTCACATAACACGCGACGCGAGACAAGACACAACACTTATCGTTCTTACAACATTTAAAACGGATTAAAAATTACCTTTCTGTCGACCGGTTTCGGGCGCGATGCTGCCCATCTACGGGACAATGTCCGACTGGTTACAATAGGATTGCTACGCTGTTGTGTAGACGTCCAGAGAAGAGAGTTGTTACTGTATTTTCAGCTTCGTCAAGTTGAACAAAGATGATATGATGGGAGGATCATCTTCATTCATCAGTGGTTCCTGTGTGTTGTTGATATGCATTGATTCCCATGCATTGAGGTGTGAGGGTTTTCGTACTGTTTTGATGAGCTTCGCACTTTTCCAATCAATTTGATGATTGGAGGCCGTCGTGTGCGCCGCCACAGCTGAATCGTTTGATTTTTTGTTGTCGACAGCATTTTTGTGTTCTTTAAGGCGGACTTTTACTTTGCGACGGGTTTGTCCGATGTACACCGAGGGACAATCCTGGCAGGGAATTCGGTAAATTCCAGACTGCTCATCCGCCGGAATCTTGTCCTTAAGGTTACACAACAGGTCGCGTAGAGTGTTGTCGCTTTTGTGTACTATGTGTAGTCCTTGACGTTTGAGTGTGTTTTTGATTGGGTTTGTGACTTTTGGATAAAATGGTAGGCTAATCCTCTTAGCTTCATCTCTCTCCGGCTGTAGTGTGGTTATGTTCTGTAGGCGTTTCTTGCGTTTGTGTTTTTGTAAAATTTTGCTGGTGAACTCCTTTTCGTATCCATTTACTTCCGCCGCCTTGTAGATACGTTCCTTTTCTTCAGCGAACTCTTCTTCCTCCATAGGTACATTATAGAGACGGTGTGCCATAGAGTAGAAGGCGGCTTGCTTTTGAGCGCCGAAGTGATTGGAGTCCGAGGTGATGTATCGATCAGTGGATGTCGGTTTTCGGTAAATACCGAATTTCAACGTGTCGTCCTCCTTTCTGGTGACCATCAAATCTAGAAAGGGCAATTTTCCATCCACTTCTCTTTCTACTGTGAACTTAATTGAGCTGTGGCGGGAGTTCAGCATGTTCAGTGTCTGCTCTAGGTAGCGTTCCTTCACTTTAACACTCTTGGGTCATTCGTGACTTGTCCGGGGGTGAGATTTGAACTCGTGACTCCGGCGTGAGAGGTATGGAAGCTAACCACTACGCCGGAGTCGCCCCCTAAACAGCGCAGCTATTTATTGACGAATTTCAAATCTATGGGCGCTACTTAAAACTTAAGACTGTAAAGATTTATTCGGTATGAGTAAGTTTAAAATCTATTGATCAATTGCTGAGTAATGATTTTTCAAACATCACCAATTTTCTGTTACACATTTTACCGGTTGCATCGTGTTCGGAGTGTTAAGAAGCATCATAGGGAATATTTTTCAGAAGATGCTTATTCTATATGCTCGCCCATCGCTCCACTCTTCTGACAAAAAAAAAACACGGGCAGAACAGTAAACCAGAGTAGCTACGCAGTAATGGGGCAATTTTCCAAGGTTAATGGATCAAATTGAAAAAAAAAAGTGTCCAAAACATGAACAATATGTGTCTAATTTATGGATCGTGCCTATATTTTTAAGTGCTCAAGCTTGATTTTCTATGGATCACTTTCATTAGTTTAAGGTTCATTGCTGAAGGTTTTATGGATCATTTGCAATATGGGTAATTCGTGCAATTTCAATGCTCATTCTTTACAAATTTAGCGGTAAACCAAACTTTCGCTTTTTTTCGGTCTTGCAGGTAGGCGTAACCCCTTAAATGCTTCCTTTGAATATTTCAGAGGATCCTTAACTACTGCTAAGTTCTCCCAGACTTGTCGGAGGTTCCCTTAGTAATTTCGAAGTTCCCTAGATTTCAAGGCTTATATGAATTGCAAATTAAATGATCTTCTTGAAAATTCATTGAGGACTTCTGAGGACTTCTGAGAGGATCAAAGAGCTTATAAATAGAAGAAGAAGATTCAACAAAACCAAATCATTGGATGTTAACATGAACAGCCCTTCCAATTTTACGATAGCTGGACAAACAGTGAAAAAATAAAGCCTCCGATATATTGGCTGCCAGATAGCATCAGGCAATGGGATGTTGTGACTTTTTCAACTTTGAATCGAAAAAAAAAAAAACAGATCGTTTCGGAATCCGTAATGTCTCCACAGTGAACGCAACAATCCAAATTTCAATTCCAATGTGAAATCGGGGCTATTCTACCTCAGCGGGGTATTTTCGTTTTCCATTTTCCACTCAAAAGCTGCAGGTTTTTGTAAACATAAATACGAGAACGGAAGTGGTAATGGGTTGGTCGCAAGCGTCGTAAGGATTCATGGCAGCGGAGCCTCAACAAGGAAATCAAACAAATCAAAAGGAACTTGACCTGTGTCAGAAGAAGAAAATCGTTTCTTATAATTCTTTTTAGCTGCAAAAGCCAAAAACTAGTTCGTAGCCCTGGTGTTCATAGAGCAGGCAAAATCTAAAGCTAATAGACGCTGGAAGACATGCATCGAACAGAATATTTAATATCTAATGGTATGATGGCTTTATTATTTCTCAAACTCAATATTATAAAAATAAGCAAAAGTCCGCCGTTAATTGACTCAACAACAAAAACAAAAAAACGAACATCAAATACTAAGTAAAGCACTCGATTCCGGTGACTCAGCAAAGTAATTTAGAGAACCCCCATCAAAACTTTTCCACTCTAGCCTTTCGATATGGTCTCAATCCAGTAGCCCCTGCCCCGAAAGTGAGGGGAGACCCGGGACACAGTAATTAATTAGCAGCAACAAATTGAATTGAATTTTCCATTATGTATAGCACCTTTTTTCACTCAGCAAGATCCAAAATATACCCGAAAAACAGGAAGAATCAATACCGATTGTCGATTGAACGTCTGAAATGAGAAGGATCAAAACGTGGTAGTTTATGTTGCCAAGCACTTTACTCCTAAGATAAATACACGCAGATAGTGCTTCAGAACGACCCTCTGGAGAGACGGAGAGCAAAACCCAATTGGGCAACCGACGGAACATGTCCCGGACAAGACATTGCGCTCTTGAGTTTGGTAATTACAGACTCAACACAATGGCGAGTGTGCCTCATTTTCTTCGGACCCTTCAAACGGACAACCGACGACGACGACGCCGACGCTGTGTGCTAATGAAATTCAGGTTTCCCCGGTGCTTTCTTGGTCGGATGGAAAGGATGACGATAATGGCACTTTACGCTGTTGGATACGATGACTAAGGGGACGCAAAAAAAAGCAGATCCAAAGGATAGCCCCAGGGGAGCCGACTCAAGTACCGCGCTCTCTTAACCCATTCACCCGCTTTGCTTCCTTAAGGCAAACATGGCTCAGGGTAGAAAAAAAAAGCGTGCTTGTATATGCCTTCTTTTTCACGATAACCAAGAACATGGTGCAGATCTTTTTACGAAGCGGAAAAATCCCCCCCCCCCACGATTTCTCAGACTCAAGAGCCTTGAAGGTGAGAAATCGTCGACATTATTACTTTTCCTGACGTTGCCAGCCTCTTCGGGGGATCCAACGGAAGAATATTAATTTGTACAGACCGATGAATATTAAACACGAAGAAGGGACAGAAAAAAAGGGGGCCAGTGTCCATTTTCTCACCCCGCTAGACAGTTGGCTGTTTCCGAGGAAAAATGTTTTTCCCTCAGTCAAGCGTCATCAATTAGTTAGTCGATCTTTTTCAACGCTTATGATTTCCGGATGAACCGTCAACTGTTTGCGTTCAGTATTGCACCTACCTGAGTTGGGTTGCTGGTTGCTATTCGGACGAGCGGATGGGGCTCCATCACGGGCTTCCACTTCCAGAGCGTAAGCTCCCTGCTTCTCACGATCGAACACGACTTTTGTGAAAATCTCACCACTCTGCAGGTTGATCTCGAAGAAGTCCTTGCCTTCGTTACGGGGCGAATCGACAATGTAGTAGTACACCTGTAATTGAGTCAGAAAAGAAAATCAAGCAATTAGTCGGAGCCGGAGCGCTTAATTTAGTTATTTTATTATTCAGCTTTCCATTTACTGAAACTGCAGCACCGAGACTGGTTGGCGGCAAAGTTAGAAATTCCAAATTAGATTGAACTGCCATCGACCTTGCAATTATCGCTGCGACTGCAATACCTCCACTCCTTGGTGCAACACTTTTCACGTTGATTGCGAAGAAAATTCATTCAGGGTGGGTGAGCAATGTCTTCTCGGAAGAAGGATAAATAAAGCCTTCCTTCCAAGAATAAACATAATAGACCCCGAACGGTGGCATACAATCGCAATTTAAGTTAAATTACTATCGGAAATGCAAATAATGCGCTCCCTTCCATTTTCATTCATCACATCTACCAGGTTGAAGACAAAAGGAGAAGCGAGTGTCGTCCAATGACAACCAACGACGGTGGAGAAAGTTGGACATATGCAATTGACATTGGGAACAATTTTCGTAAACTATTCTAGAACAACTAGCGCTGATGGTTTTCATTAGGACAGAAAAGTAATTTGCGGTTTAAAGCTTTGAAACAGCATTCAAAATGGCTCTAATTGTACTTTTGCAAGATGAATTGGCCAATTAGAGACACTTTGCAAATTATTTTAAATCCCGTTCCTCTGACTGAGATTTACTGGAGCTAAGGTGGATTTTGTAAAAATTGGGTACTTTAAAACGGGGTAACATTGATAGTTTTTGAAAGTATATTCTAAATAATTTTTACAGCAATGAATGTTTTTCAAGTTTTATATTTTTAAAACAAGTACTGAGGATCCTAGAGCCATTATTATTTTAGTCTTGTGACCGAACTTCAGTTTTTTTTTTATTTGGGGTTACTTTGATAATGTGATGGGTGAAGCTCAAACAATTTAGTTCTTTAAATATGAAAGATTGAATGAGCATATAATCAGAAAACATCATAAGCAATAAGAATACAACATTGAATTTGTGATGGCAATATCGGAGATACATTTCATAAATGATGGTTTGAGTGCTTTTTCAAAAAGGCGAAAAACACGAATATTGTTTTTTAATATGTTTGTAAAACATGTAACACATACTACATAAAAACTACATACGATATCAACGGAAATACCTTAAGCTACAATGTTTCTAATTTGGAAAAAGCGTAACGAGTAAATTTAATCTTTACATTATACTATCAAAGCTACCCGCATTATCAAAGATACCCCGTTTTACGGTATTATTATTTGCTGAAATTACTTCCGAAGTAAGTAATCTAAATCTGAATAAGGTCGCACCAAAATTGTGAATTAGCTAAGACCGATTCTAATTAACATGTCAACGTATTGAAGGTTAATTAGAATCGGTGTGTGAAGGTTTGACAACATTTGAATTCTGCTTTATTTTTTTTTTTTTCCTTTGGTTTGTTTTTTTCCGTCGATCTTGTTTTCCGTGCTGAGCACCAATGCTACCGACGTGCCAAGAAGGCAGCTCCCACACCTGGACCCTACCTATCGACCCATCAACTCATGAACCGGGGACCAACGGCTTTACTTCCCATCCGAAGGAAGGCGTGATCAGAGATGTTATGCCTCAGAACATCCCGGCGGCGCCGACTGGGATTGAACCCAGGCCTGCTGGGGTGAGAGGTAATCACGCTTACCACTACACCACCGGCGCCGTTAATTCTGCTTTATATTGAAGTTCATAAATTCATGAAACTGCTGGAGAAACTTCTAAAGTAGATTAATGCCCAAAATCCGACTGATCCGAAAATAAAGGGGGACATTGCATCTGGGTTTCTACCGTCTTCAGCATTAGCACAATACCACAAACAATTCGTCAAAAAATATCGCCAAGCGTTCAAAATTTGCGTGCACTCTCTATCATGCACATTCCCGAATATTGATTTACAACCAGAGCATCCCTTGTTCAAGCCATTTTGTCGTAGACTACGACTAACATGAAGGTATAGAAGGTAAATCTAAAATCTAAAATTGCGACCGTCACGAAAAGATGTTAGATTTTGAACGTTTATTACTTTGTCATTTGTTGATGAAATACAAATCCAAATACACCAATCGATAGGAAATAAGTCTTTGATTCTGATAAAATAAACACTTTTACCATTTACCATAAAAAAAATTAAAAGTGTTCAAATAAAAAGTAATAACTGCATCACTGTATTCATGAAGTAAACGTTTTCCCCAAACCAGTCGTAATAATCGAGTACCACTTGGTTGCACATTGTTCTGCTTGAACATGTAAAGTTATAAAACAGTGCTGCTATTGTGCTTCCGTTTTTTTTTTTTTTTTTTTTTTAACTCTTTATTTGTTCCAAATTCAAAATAAATTACATTTCATTTTTAACCTAGGTGCTCCAGTTACTACAGTAACTTACCAGCCTTAATTGTTATGATATATATCTAAGTGTTTTTACATTGTTCCTGTCTTGGCAATTCAGTATTTTAAACAGGTTTTTTAAACCTGCATGTCAGTATAACAATTGATAGCTTAAAACTATATAACTAAAACTAAATCTTATCTAAGTATAAAGGGAATTAATCGTTGCAATTGAGGATTGTAACGATTTTTGCCGGAAATTATTAATTATTTTGTTGGACATTTGTGCTAAAGTCTCAACATTCGAAATTCTATGTACTTCGGTAGTACTGTACCAGGGAGGCAACTTCAAAATCATCTTCAGAATTTTGTTCTGAATCCTTTGAAGTGCTTTTTTCCTGCTAGTGCAGCAACTAGACCATATTGGCACAGCGTAAAGCATGGCCGGTCTAAAAACTTGTTTAAATATTAGAAGTTTATTTGTCAGGCAAAGTTTGGATTTCCTGTTTATAAGAGGATACAAACATTTTATATATTTGTTACATTTGGCTTGAATGCCCTCAATGTGATCTTTAAAAGTTAATTTTTGGTCAAGAACTAATCCAAGATATTTCACTTGGTTTGACCAGGAAATTGGAACTCCGTTAATAGTGACTATGTGACTACTACTAGGTTTCAAAAAGGAAGCCCTAGGCTTATGTGGAAATATTATAAGTTGAGTTTTGGAAGCGTTGGGAGAAATCTTCCATTTTTGTAAATAAGAAGAGAAAATATCTAAACTTTTCTGAAGTCTGCTGCAAATAACACGAAGACTTCTTCCTTTAGCGGAAATGCCTGTGTCATCAGCGAACAAAGATTTGTGGCAACCCTGAGGCAAATCAGGGAGGTCCGAAGTGAAAATGTTATACAATATAGGCCCAAGAATGCTACCCTGAGGAACTCCTGCTTTAACAGGTAGTCGATTAGATTTCGAATTTTGATAATTTACCTGCAGAGTTCTGTCAGTTAAATAATTTTGAACTAATTTCATAATGTAAAGTGGAAAATTAAACTTTTTCAATTTAGCAATCAAACCTTCATGCCAAACACTGTCGAATGCTTTTTCTATGTCTAGAAGAGCAACTCCAGTTGAGTGGCCTTCAGATTTGTTTGAACGAATTAAATTGGTAACTCTCAAGAGTTGATGAGTAGTTGAATGCCCATGGCGAAATCCAAACTGCTCATCTGCAAAAATTGAGTTCGTATTGATGTGAAGCATCATTCTATTCAAAATTATTTTTTCAAAAAGTTTACTTATTGAAGAGAGCAAACTTATTGGACGGTAGCTAGAAGCTTCAGCTGGGTTTTTATCCGGCTTCAAAATTGGAACAATTTTTGCATTTTTCCATTTATCAGGAAAGTATGCCAAATGGAAACATCTGGTCAATAATTTTACCAAGAAAGACAAGGTACTCTCTGGGAGTTTTTTGATGAGGATATAGAAAATTCCATCATCACCTGGAGCTTTCATATTTTGAAATTTTTTAGTTATAGACCTTACTTCGTCCAAATCAGTCCCCCAGGAATCATCAAAAATATTTTCCCGAGAGAAAATATTCCGAAAATCCCGAGCAACCTGATTCTCAATAGGACTAGTAAGACCCAAACTGAAATTATGGGAACTCTCGAATTGCTTAGCAAGTTTCTGAGCTTTTTCCAAATTTGTGATCAAAATTTTACCACCTTCTTTAAGCGCTGGAATTGGCTTTTGAGGTTTTTTCAAAATTTTTGTGAGTTTCCAAAAGGGTTTGGAACTCGGGTCTAATTTAGAAACATTATTTTCAAAAGTTTTGTTCCTCAGGGCAGAGAATCGCTTTTTAATTTGTTTTTGCAAATCCCGCCAGATAACTTTCATGGCAGGATCGCGTGTTCTTTGATATTGTCTCCTACGGACATTTTTAAGACGGATCAAGAGCTGAAGATCATCGTCTATTATAATTGAATCGAATTTAACCTCGCATTTTGGTACTGAGGCAGCTCTTGCTTCAACTATAGAAGTAGTCAGAGATTCAAGAGCATAATTAATTTCATCTTTGGTTTGCAAAGGAATGTTTGGATCGAAGTTATATTCCATAAATGTTCGATATTGCTCCCAATCAGCCCTATGGTAATTGAAAGTAAAGCTGTTGGGATTAGAAATTATTTCTTGGGATATTTCAAAAGTTACTGGAAGGTGATCAGAACCGAAGTCAGCATGGGTAACCAATTGGCTACAAAGATGACATGAATCAGTTAAGGCCAAATCAATAGTTGAGGGATTTCTTGCAGAAGAAAAGCATGTTGGGCTGTTTGGATATTGAATAGTGTAATAACCTGCAGAACAATCATCAAACAGAATATTACCATTGGAATTGCTTTGAGCATTATTCCATGAGCGGTGTTTTGCATTAAAATCACCAATAATGAAGAATTTAGACCTATGACGGGTAAGTTTCTGAAGGTCACCCTTGAGAAAATTCTTTTGCTGGCCTACGCATTGGAATGGCAAATAGGCAGCTATAAACGTAAGTTGTCCAAATTTTGTTTCAACAGAAACTCCCAAAGTTTCAAAAACTTTGGTTTCAAATGAAGAAAGTATTTTGTGTTTGATTCGTCTATGAATAATGATGGC